TGCTCCTGGGGGTCTGACCGGCCATCGTAGGTCTTGATGGCGTTCCCCCTGTACTTCTCAGGGATGGGGCCGAGAGGACCCTGTTGGTGAAAGGGGTCCTCGTCCTGACCTGGATGATGGGGTCACCCCGCCCTTCGGCCAGCTCCCTCTCCAGGGCGCTGACTTTGTTCATGAGCGCGTTGAGGCCGGGGTCGTTGGAGGCGCCGGCCGTAGGGATGTTGGCCGACTGCTTGGCCTCCATCTGAGCCAGCCTCCTCTCCAGCTGGGCGATGACCTCGTCCCGGGGGTCCCTGGCGGCCGTAGCGCCGCCCGACTGGTTCCTCAGGCGCTCGTTGTGAGCCGCGTTGATCTGGTGACGCACGTCATCCTCGTGCAACTTCCCCTTGCCCTTGTCCGGGCGGGGCTGGTCCGCTGTCCGGGACACAGACCCCAAGCTTTCCCTTGGCGAGCCAGGACGAAGGTCACCAATCCGTCCCGCCATCCTCTCCGAAACCGGACGACGGCGCGTGTCACCTAGCCTATTGAAGGCAGAGGCTTTTCCACGCGCTGGGGTCTGCCCGGGCCGAAGAGGGGAAGCAGGGTGGGAGTGGGACGACGCCGTGTCCTGGGGCACCACCCCCTCGTCGTTGCCAATCTGGACGGCCAACGGTTGGGGTTGAGGAGGTTGAGTGACGTTCCCCCCAGTCCTTGGCAAGAGTGCGCTGAGGACGGTGGGGTTCTGAGCCAAGCTGGCGATGATAGCCGATAGTGCGGCCTGGACCTGAGGATCTACGGACGGAGAGGCCGCGGCCATAGGCTGGGCCGGGGCGTGATCCGTCTTTTCAGCTCGCTTCTTGTCCAAGCTGAGGCGGGCATCAGGGGCGCCGCCGTTGAGTTGGTTGCGGAGGTCCGTTGTGAGGTTGAAAGCCTCCTGGAAGAGATCCCCTCCGCCGACCTGGTCGACCATGGCGTCCTCATCGTGCTCCCTGGGCTCTTGGTCCTCAGGGATGGCTTTGCTGACGAGGTTGCGGTTTGACTTAGTTCTCCCCATGATCAGTGGTTAGCTGTGCTTGGTAGCGACGAAGGGTGCTAACTTGATTGTTCTAGCTCTCAACGAGAGCACCAAATGATAGAGTATATCTAGAGAGAAGTGAGAGCTAGAGAGAGAAGTGCAATAATATGCTTCAATAGAATGATTTTGGAACACCTATAACTACTCCCAAGGGGAGTATTTATAGAGAAAATTAGGGTTGGGCTCCCAAGCCTTGGGCTTGGGAGGCCCATCTACAACTGGACCGCTACTGGGCCGAATACAAAGCCACTAATGGGCTGTACAAATGAGTAAGTATAAAATCCGATTCTGGGAGGTCTTCGTGGCCGACGAGGGCGTGGCCGACGAGGGCACGGCCGACGAGGGCACGGCCGACGAGGGCACCCGGGTTCCTTGGACTCAGGGCCATAATCTGAGTTGGCCCCTTTTCGGCCGACGGGGACGTCCTGGCCGACGAGGGCGCCACTCTGTGCCTTGTGCTCTGTTCTTCCGAGTATATGGGTCCGGGGGCTCAGACCCATATACTCCATCACTATATATGATCATTTTAGCTACTTTTTTATATAATTTGTTCTTTAATTTATTTATAAACAATATTTTAATTTTTTTCTCCATAGTTCAATAGATTCTACCAATTGAACCAACATTTCATCAATTTAAATAGATTTAATCAATTTAATCAGTTTCAGTGTTATCAAATGAACTCTAAAACACATCACCAACTTACGGCTGAGTAAAAAGATGTGAAAGAATAAGATCATAATGAGCAAGCCATGAATCTAGTAAGAAATGATGATCTGATCTATGCGCTTTAACGTGCTTGGTGCCATTATGGTGAATAAGCTAGTACTACAAAAAATTACAGGATTAACACAGATTTGATACGAATTGACTGATGATTTCATACCAAAATACCTCGTGCAAAGTGTTTGGGATGGATTTGGCATATCTCTCCCAAATTCTTCATGATTTTTTAACCTCTGCCAGAAACACATGTCAATCCCGTATTTTTTTTGTAGTACTGTATACCAGCATGGAGAAATCTAGCTCTCATATTACCAAAAACATATATGAGTACGACTCCTAACAAAAAATTTCAAAATGGGAGTGAATTAATATTACTATTATGGGATGAAAAAATTGGGGCTCATATTCGAGAAAATGTGTTATATCTTACTCATATTTTGCAATTTTTTTCTAAAATTAATTAACTACTTGGGAATTTTTTTGTTAGAAAGTTTCCATGGTACACGTTTTTTTTGTACCGCTGCTTACATGGGTGTTCTTAAATGGTAGATTCTATGGTACCCTTAAGGTACCGTACATTTGTCCACATGGACCAATCACAATGATGTAGTTGAATTATTTAAATCTAAATTAAAAATGATGTAATGATTTGAATCAATCAAGTGAGAGATAGGTACGATACCCCATTTTTTAAATGGGTACTAGAGTTGTCACCTTCTTAAATATGACTAAATTGTGGCTCATTTACAAAACGTAACTACTTTTATAGATGGATCAAAATGTGATTAATCAGGTAATAAATTAGTAAATTCATGATTTGATTGGTAAATTTTATGTCCGTGTCGTCAGCACATATGTCCCGGCGCCATAAAGCATGTTATTGTGACCGCCTAAACATTTTACGGCGAATATTACCGGTGAATTTTGAAAAAGTTGAAAAACGATTAAAAAAATAGATTATCAAATAAAGTACATACGGAGTATTATTTATACATATAATAAATATAATATTCCATCTTTGCAAGACACACGTGAATGATTAATGTTACAAATAAATGAATGAATAAATTGTGGCTCATTTATTATTATTACTAAATTATGGCTCATTTACAAAACGTAACTACTTTTATAGATGGATCAAAATGTGATTAACCAGGTAATAAATTAGTAAATTCGTGATTTGATTGGTAAATTTTATGTCACTACAACGTGTTTGTTTTGTACTATCACAAATAATGATTTATTTATTGACTTCGTTACTGTTTTTCATTATACACAAATAAACTACATACGAAGTACTTCCTCCGTCCCTCAATACTTTGACAAGTTTGACCGGTACGAGAATTAATAAAGTAAACACTGTGTGGTTGAGGTTTGTGCAGAGAAGAGAGAATTAACCGGAACCACAAATTCTTTACTTAAATGGGAAAGTGGCAAAGTTAGTGTGACATCCAAAAAAGGAAAGTTGACAAAGTTATGAGGGAGGGAGGTAGTATTATACAAGTAGTATGGAGTATTATATTCCATCTTTGCAACGCACCGGTGAACAGTTTGTGCTACAAATAAATAAATAAATAAATAAATAAATAAATAAATAAATAAATAAATAAATAAAGAGCTTGATTATAGTACCACACCATAAATTTCACTTTGACGCTGGGGAGCTAACACACAATTGTACGTAGTACTTCGTATGCTGCTTGCTATATATATATATATATATATATATATATATATATATATATATATATATATATATATATATATATATATATATATATATCCCAGGTCAAACAAACACATATACATAGTACAAGTTTAGTTTCTCCAGTGAAATAAGGCCGGAGAAACTTCTAAAAAGGCAAAGGGACATAATAATTATAGAAATTAGTTCAAATAGAACTAAAATTATGGCAAAAACCTAAAATAGGACTTGCTATGTTTTTATTCCAAAATAGGATCATATGAGTCCTATCGGAAACATACCTATTTTTGCATTCCATTCTTACCCTTCCATTAAATATGAATTAAAAATAGTCAAAAGCCATAATTAAATGTTTAATTCATAATAAATTCGAAAAAAAAATCAAAAATTCGTAGAAATATAATTAAAAAATTTATAAAATTTTTATAAAATAAAAAATTCAAAAACTTTTTTTTTAAAATAATTTTATTTTTAAAAAAATTAATAAAAAATAGTAAAACTCCGTAAAAAAAATTTAAAAAAATATGGATGTCTTTCCCACCGCCTATACTACCTCCCCATTAAATATGAATTAAAAATAGTCAAAAGCCATAATTAAATGTTTAATTCATAATAAATTCCCAAAAAAAAATCAAAAATTCGTAGAAATATAATTAAAAAATTTATAAAATTTTTATAAAATAAAAAATTCAAAAACTTTTTTTTTAAAATAATTTTATTTTTAAAAAAATTAATAAAAAATAGTAAAACTCCGTAAAAAAAAATTTAAAAAAATATGGATGCCTTTCCCACCCAGCACCACCACCTCCGGCCGATGAAAAAAATGCCATTTTCTCAGAAAAATGCCATTTTTTTCTGAAAATGCCAAAAAAGTGGCATATTTCTCTTTTCGAATGCCAACATTTTCATTTTTGTCTGCCATAAATATGGAATTCGTAATGAACTTGGCATTTTTTTCCCCTGGTGACTGGAGGTGGTGGTGCTGAGGCGGCAGAGGCGGCGGCGATTTTTTTTTGAGTTTTTTTTTTAATTTTTTTAATTTTTTGAAAAAAAAAATGAATTAAATTTTTAATATCGAAAAGTTTTTCTTAATTTTTTAGTATTTTTTACGAATTTTTATTATTATTTATTATTTTATTAGGAATTAAAACATTTTAATAGCTATAAGGGTATAATTGTCCAATGTACACATAATTAGTCCTATGCAAACATAGTTCATTTTTTGATCCTATTTGTGAAAAGTGAATGACTTTTAGTCCTATTTTGATAATTAACTCTAATGATTATTGACTATTGTCATGATTTTGGATGGTAACGTAAATAATTCATCAGATATGATTAGTATTATTAAGGATGAGACTAATAATATGAAAAGAATCAATACAATGAGCATATATGACTAGACGACGTCGTCCCTGCCCTCTTGAGATTGCCTATATAACCTAAGCTCCATTAAGGATTCATTTCACTTCACCATATAGTATCGATCTTGCTGGTTTAAAAAAAGGAAAATGGCTCGAAGTTTGTGTTTGATCACTACACTGCTGGTTTTAAGCTTGTTTACGGCGGCGACCACGACACTAGCACTGGGTCGTAAGGAAGTAGCAGTATACACTGTGACGAGTTACGGAGCAAAAAAACCTAAAGGCGGCGGCGGGTCGTCGATGGAAGACAGCCTCAAAAGTGCATGGCTTCAGGCGTGTAAATCGGATGGTCCGGCAACCATCAACGTGGCGGATAGTGTCTTCAATGAAGGCCCCGTCATTATCGACGGCACTGATTGCCGAAACCCAGATGTCATAACATTCGATATGGAAGGAACAACACATCTGGCTCCTGACTACACAAAATTCGGAGAGGCCGAACAGTGGATCAAGTTGTACCACGTCAACAACGTTAGCATTAAAGGCGGGACCCTAGATGCCGGAGGTGGCTCTCTCTATGAATGCAAGGCCGGCGGAGGTGACTGCCCGGACGGAGCTACGGTAAGCTAGGCATCTATAACATTCTACCTATCGTATATACTTCATCCGTTCTTTTTTAGTTGCAACATTCCTTTTTTCACGTATGCCAATGCACAACTTTGACCATCATTATATCTGATTGTCTATTAAAAAAACTTTTAAAAAATCAGATTATGAAACTTTGTAATACGACGATTTCAACGATATTTTTCAAAAAATAATAATTCACATACATTAATAAATACAATGTAGTCAAAGTAGAGTACATGAATAGTGTGTAAATTCTAAGGTAGATTCTATGGTACCCTTAAGATATCATACCTTTGTCCACATGGACCAATCAGAGTGATGCAGTTGAATTATTCAAATCTAAATTAAAATTGATATAATGATTTGAACCAATCACTAGAATAGTAGGTACGACACCCCATTTTTTAAATGGGTATAGGAGTTGTTTGGTGCAACTATTATGATATGGAGGATATTATATTTTTGTAGAATGCCCGGACGGAATTCTAGAGCATTCATAAATTCCGGCCTAATTTGTCATTACAAACTTAAACATTCTAGCTTGTGTATGAGCAGTAATCAAATTGAAGGAAAAAAAACTAGCATCAAAACTTGTACATACATGCAAACACCATTCATTCGGGAATACAATTTTGTTTGATCGATCATCTTTTAGGAATCATCACATCCTTCAGTCATACCTAATTATCTTCTGGTAATTGTCTTATTTGTAATATTTAAAAAAGAGATAATAGTCCTAAATAGAACTAAATTAATCCCTAAATGCACAAATAGCACTATGTTAATTTCAGGTAAAAATGCCATCTTTATGGCATTTTCAAAGAAAATGGCAGTTTTTACACAAAATGACATTTTTTAGCCGATCAAAGATAAAATTATTGGGCAGTAGTCGAGACTGTGGGAAAGACCTCCATTTTTTTTATATATATATATATATTTTAAGGTGTTTTATCTATTTTTTATTTATTCATAAAGTTTTTAATTTTAATTTTTTTTAATTTTTATGATTTTGGTTTTTTTAAAAAAATATTTTAGATTTTCTTTTGGATTTTTTACGATTTTGCGTACTTGTATAAGTTTTTTTTTGTATTTATTACAAATTAAAATTTGGTTATCCTATTAAGTTGTGGTTAGGGTAGAATAGGAAGATAAAGTATACTTTAAGGGTACAATTGGAAAGCTAGTCCTATTTAGGGAATTTTTAAGTTATGTTCCTATTTTGAAAATTAAAGTTTCGTTTAGTCCTATTTAGAGAATTCTCCCTTTAAAAAATTAAATACATATTTATGACTAAAGTAAAGATGGTTTGCATAAATATGACTAACTAAATATAAATAAAATCATAAGAACTTATGTTCAATTTTTAAACTTAAACTAACATCACAATAAATTATAGTAACTATTAGTCATATTTATGTCAATAAACTTTATTTTAGTAATATTTTTGAAAAACCCTTATTTAAAAGGTCCCCTCATAGTCCAATGTTTGACTGAATTGTTGTTAGAAGCTCTTTTTAGTGACCCTTTTAAAGAAGGCCATTTCTATGGCACCTTGAAGGTATGGTACCTTGATGGCATGGACCAATAAAAAATTTTCAATTGAATAATTTAAATGCAAATAAAATGTAAAACTTTGAGTTGCACCAATGAAATGTATCATAGGTATGGTACCCTCCTATTTTTGTTGGGTACCATAGCAAGCACCTTTAAAGAATCGTGTCATACGAAATGGAACTACATCAAACAAACTGTTAGCTTTCATCAAATAATTATATTATTTTTCTTTTAATATTTTTTTCAGATATTAAACGCTAACAAATACTAAAAAACTTGTCTTTTCGACTAGTTGTGCAAATATACATATTATTCGATCACAAGTCATCTTAATATGTTTACTCAAGCACATTCTTTAATTTTCTCCTAATGCGCATTATTCTAACACATTTCATCTTTAATTTTAATTTTAATCCACATCATTTGCGGTTGTTTTTGTTTCTATATTTTCCGCATAAATTTCAATGGTACTCTCCCTGTCCCCTTTTATGAAGTTAAATTTGACTTTTCAAGTCAATGATGTCTAATTTTGACTTATTATATATTTATATACATAAGTATTAATAATATGAAAATGAAATAGAATGGTATTTGTCAAAAATAGTATCATAAATATATTAGTTAAAATAATTGGTCAAAATTTGCATCTTTGATTTTTTTTATATCATAATTTGGCATTTTTGATTAGAAACGAAAAAAATGGCTAAATGAAAAAGACCTGTATGGAATTTTCACATGGTTAATAGATAATATGGAATGAGATGAAGATAGTGTATAGTCGGTAGTGTATACTCTTGAATATATATAAGACGGCCGGTTTGATGTGATGTACTTTGATAACTTTTCAGACATTCGCTATTCACAACTCCGTTGGAGTGACCATTACGGGATTAACCTTAAAAAACAGTCAAATGTTTCATATGGCGATTGTCGACAGTAGCAAAGTCTTGGTGGAAGGCATAACGATTGAAGCGCCAGGGGATAGCCCAAACACAGACGGAATACACATTTCAGGTTCCAATAAAGTTACCATCACTGGTACCAACACCATCGCAACGGGGGACGATTGCATCTCTATTGGTCAAGGCTGCGACACCGTGACCGTCGAGGGTGTGAATTGTGGTCCCGGGCATGGAATAAGGTTTGCATGATCTGCTCCGGATTATATTCTTTATCTCGAAAACATCACTATATTGACTTTCTTTAAACTTCCCTTCCAATGCACTTTGCACTCCTTAAGTTAGCTGAGAAATAAGAATAATAATAATTTTGTGGTTGAATTTTTTGAAGAAAAGAGAGAAATAATCAGAACCACAAAATAGTTACTTTAATGGGAAAATGACAAAGTTTTTTGGGACAACCAAAAATAAAAAGTTGGTAAAGTTCAATGGGATGGAGGGAGTAATATATACAGTACATTATTTAGGATATATATGAGATTATATGGAAATAATTTTTCTTAGAAATACTTTCATAAAAGAATTTATAAGTTACACAAATATCACAAATATGTAACTAAAACATGTAACTAAAATCATTGTTAAAAATTCATTACCACTTACTAGCAAAGTTTAATTTAGCCAAATTGTACGAATCCGAAGGAGCACTATAACATCTTGGCCATCTTTTCAACACTCACGGTAACTTGTGAAAATTAGTCACAATAATTTATTATACCACGTACCAAAAATGACTATATTTGAGAGAAAGCTTTCAACATACTACTATATACTGGTACGTACAATTTTTTATTGTAATTAAGAACCACGTACTTAGCTTAATTACTAAAATAAAAGCCAACGGTTCATATATACTACTCGTCAAATATATATTGTTGCTGATCAATTGTTATGCTCATCTATATATATAGGGGAGAGTTCCGGTGAGAATGATTTCTTGGGAGAGAAATGAGAATGAAATCAAACCTCTCAATATTTAGATCCAATGGTCTAGCATTTTTCAAAGTAGCGAATGTTTAACTAGATTTTCAAATCATAGAGATTGTAATTAAGGCAACCGTTCAACTCAAAATAAATTTAGGGACATCATGGTAAAACTCATTCAAGTAGTTGGAAGCATGTGACGGTAGTCCAACACTAAAATAGGAAAACTTCCTAAGAATTAGGCTAATAATCAACAAGCATTAACTCCCTATGTTTTCTCTTACTTAATTTCCCTTAGTAATACGGAAATATGCTTTCTCTTACTTGATTTTCTTTTTAAATTTCCTATTATTTCACATATAATTTGGATAATTAATTTGATATAAAAATCATTATTCGAATTGTGCACTTTTTCATGTTTGATTGCTTTCTTGAGTAGATAAAATACTTCATCAACCTAATTCTGTGTATTTGCACTAGAACATTGAATACTTGCACTTTTTTCAAAATATTATGCAACATCAAATTAATTAAATATTTACACATTTTTGAATATTTAAAGACAATTGACATATTTACACTAGAACATTGAATACTTGCACTTTAAACTGCACTTCGATATATTTAGTTTGAATTTTGTAGAATATTGACTTACATTTTATACATTTTGTTTTGCACATCCATATATTTCTTAAATAAATATGAACATAAATATACAAAGGTGTAGAATATCAACAATAACATGCATTTAAAATATATATAAAGTGCATTATTATATCACATTTTCTAATGTTCTACATTAACACTTCTTTATAAAAGCAATACACTTCTACCATGTGCGTTGTAAATATATAAAAGTGCACTATTTGTTTTTTAAAGGATAAAAGTGTTGTATTATATCACACTTTTTCTAAAATTTACATTGGCATTTTTTACATAATGGAATGCATTATTCTTTCAAAAGAATCAAATTATCAATTATGATAGTGTATCTTGGTATCACTTGTATCTTCAAAAAATATTAAAATATAAAAACTAGTAAAAAGTGCATGTACGAAATATGCTAAGTGCATCAAAAGTTTAACATAAAGTTCATTGTTATTATCTTATTAGAAGTCCATATTAAACACTTAACATGGACGCATCACATAACAATAACGTAAGTGCACTAATTGTGAGTGCAAATCTACAAGTCTAAAAAACTATGTTAACCAACACTTACAGTTATGCAATAATAATATGTAAAAGTGCAAGAGGAAATAAATATGATTGCATTGAAATCAACAACGTAACCAACAATTAAATATTTATGTAATTGTCCAGCGCAAAACAAATTAACATAAACACTATAACAACAATGATGCACCATTTTATATGCATCATATCGTAATAAGCACTTCGATCCGTGCAAGTAAAATAATTAGTGGAAAAAAATTTCAAAAATCATTCTCTATAAAAATGAATAAGTTTTCGAAAACAATAAACATTAGAACCAAGATGGATGCAAAAATAAATAATTAAAAACTGAATTTATTACTCAAGAATATAATCCATAGGAAGGAGATGACTCAAGTGGACAAGGAATAATTTTGTATGGTGAAGCCAAGAGAGAAAAAAAGAAACATACTGCGTAGTAGACATAAGAAACTAGTAAATCATTAATTATTGGAGATAGTTTAGGAAGGAGAGAGCCATAATGATAGGGACGAATTTAAGATGGAAAGAAGATAGAATGATCCATCTAGCCTCCATAAGGAATAGTCACACGTAGAAATTAGGAGATGATCTAATGGTCCTTATTTATTATTATTTCTCTCCTAAGATTATATTCTCACATGAACCTAAATCTATATATATATATATATATATATATATATATATATATATATATATATATATATATATATATATATATATATTGATTAATATACTGGAGTATACTAGTATAATATATAAGCTCGTCAAAAAAAGGTTGCATCAATTGTTATGTTCATATATATATATATATATATATATATATATATATATATATATATATATATATATATATATATATATATATATATATATATATATTGATCATCAGTCAATTAACCCATATACGTCATATATACCCATTGACAAAGTTTTAAGGGATCGGGTAGTAATGTTTAAGAAATTAATTAATTAAATTGATGTTTTGAATTGGAAATAATACGTATGTATACGGTGCAGCATAGGGAGTCTAGGGAAATACGCCGGCGAGAAGCCAGTGCAACACATAACCGTACACAATGTTGAGTTTCACGAAACTAAGAACGGAGCGAGGATCAAGTCGTTTGCAAGCGAGAAGCCGTGTCTTGTGAATGATGTGGTCTTCCAGAAGTTAAGGATGGACGGCGTTGAGAACCCCTTGATCATTGACCAAAACTACGGCTCCAGCGCTGGGGACTCCAGCGTTCAGATCCAAGACGTCAGGTTTCTAGACATAACTGGGTCCTCGGCTTCGAAGGATGCCGTCTCTTTTCAATGCAGCGGCTCCCTCCCGTGCAAACGCATAGAGCTGTCCGGCGTTCACCTCACTTACAACGACCAGAAACCTCTAGCTTCCTGTAGTCACGTCCAGCTCGTCGGCAACGCCCCTTGTAATAATGTCTTTCTGTGACCAACACCCTATATATATATATTTATAACAGAATTAGGAGTTCTTCAAATAGGATTAAAAACGTTTTGGAAATCGGAGTAGGATTGTCGATCTTTTTTATTCCTTATCTATGAATAGTTATTATCGATTTTGGAAAAACCTCTCATTTCAAAGTCGAGTAAAGCCAAAACATGATAGCAATTACTCCTACGTAAGGAATAAAAATATAATCCTCCTGTTTTGGAATTCCTTTTTACTCCTATTTAAGATAATCTCCTTATATTTTATTGTATCATTATATTATAGTACTACTAAACGTACCCTACGTACGTATGTATCAAGGGGGTTTGATGTCATACACTCACAATTAAGAAGGAGGCTACATGTTCGAAACTCATCGAGATGTTGCTCATTTGAGTTCTATAGTTAGCTTCAGTTCTGTCGTAAGTACAAGCTTAGCTCGGTGGCACGCGGACCGACTGAACCCAGTTTTTTTTGGTACGAGTCCTCAAGTATGAGTAAAATTATGTAATATTGCTAGTATCTTATCTTATATATACCATATAAAAGTAACAATCTGGGAGGCAATTATTATAATTATTGTTTCCCCAGAAAGAAGTATTATACTTATAATCTAAGTACTAGTTTTTCCACACGCGTTGTATGTGTGTGTTAATCCTGACCACCCTGTAATGTGTATACTTTCCTTTATGAACTTGTTGTTTGTTTAAGCATAGGCATAACAGTAGGGAACATGTGGGTTACACATTGATTATGGTGAGGTTTTTGCACATTGATTTGGAATAACACTAAAGTATTAAGAAAAACCATTTGAAAGTAATTTTGGTGAAACAAAAAACTATTATAGCATAACTAAGATCCAACTTGAATGCAGTGCAGTACGTCTATCCATGATATCTCAAGGTGATGGTAAGTACAAATTTACAAATGTTTTACATATTAATTTTTTTTATAGAATGTCGTGAGACATGGACCTAGAGGGATTACTTGAACTATCATATATTGTTGGTGAGTTTTCAATTCCCTTAAATAAGCAGATTGTTATTCTACCAATTTTAAAAACCTGGCCATGCAATTAATAACATATGAAATAATAATCAAATGCTAACTGCAATTTCATTCATCAACAAATTCGAAAAGCAATCCAAATGCACCTGGGAATGACATCGCCCACATATATATCCGGTTATTGTTTATCATATGTTCAAATTATAAAAAATTGGAATAAAACGAAAGTTAAGCATTCAAAACATTGAAAAAGGAGAACTATAATGGTATACATGAGGTATTTTTGTATTCAATTGAAAGAAAACATATAGTGGAAATCATATAAACTAAAAGGTCCTATAGTTAAATGTCCATAATAATGCAAGTTATGCGCAACAGGTTTAACGTAAGAACAATATTGGAAGGAGAGTCAAATTCCTTGCCCTTTTGCATTGGCGTATGTATGTAAATATATACAAAGAGTACTACTCTAAATAAAGTAACTAACCATAAATACAAGGCTAATAACAAGGAAAGAAATGATTACACAAAATTGTAACCTACGTGATATTTACAAAAATATGGAGCAAGATATTCGTACAGTACATGTCCAACATTATAGAAAGAGTCCAAAGATATTTACAAAAATATGGAGCAAGAATATCGGAAGTGAGCCTGAAATCGTAAGGCTCGTGCCACATTCAAAATATGACGATGTTTTCTTTCAACACACGAGGTTTAAAATAGAACCCCGTCATCAAGAAAATATTGCCGTAATGGCAAAAATTCTGTCCCATTATCAGCTCTCACAACTTTAACAGATTTATGGAACTGAGTGTGAACCATAGCAAAGAAACGTTTCAATATAATAATGGGTACCTCCATTTTGCCGGCCATCAAATGAGCCCAAACCGCCCGAGAATGGTCGTCCACAATTGTCAAAAAATAATACGCACCATGACAGACACTTTGTCACAGTGCGTCAAAATAAATTCAATACTACCACTAATACGTAGTATATGTGAAGTAGAGTTCGTATCCACAGGGAAATGAATAATTCTCTTTTTAGTAAAACTAGTAAGTAAGGGGAGTTTTTGGGATTGAGTGATTTAATTTAGTTAAATACGAAGATGAACGACTTATATGAGATTTAATTCAAAGATAAAAAGGACTTGACATTGCTACTTTCCACTTGTTGATATATTTTAGTCGATCATTGTTATATCTATAACTTATTCCCTCTCGAATACTCAATCGAGGAGTATATCCAATTCATCGAGGGTAGTTATTAACAATGACCGTTCATTAATAACCCTTACTATTAGTCAAGTATAGAACACCGCCATATACCGACTTGATAGTAGCATTTAATCTCTTAACTCCTTGATGAAATCAATTGAGATTGATAACCTCAACACAACAGTTTCGGTTTAACCAACAAAATCAATCCCTCTTAAGTTTATTAACCACGAACGTGCATTAATAAACCGAAGTTACTTACTTGTGAAACCATCAACGATTAACCATCAGTTCGTCGATCATTTTTAGTAATAATTATTATATGAAACAAAACTAGTCGATCTTTTAAGTAATGTTCAAAATATTAATATGAAATATGAATAAAAATTAATATATTCAAGGAAGAAAATTAAAGATGATAAATCGTACTATAACTAATTTCAAGATGTTAACTAATTGTCATCTTAGCAACACTCCCCAACATTAATATATAGAGGAAGAAAATAAATACTACTATAACTAATGTTGAGATGTTAACTAATTGTCATCTTAGCAACACTCCCCAACATTAATATATAGATAGATTAAGGGAAAAATTAATATTCAAGGGAAGAAGTTAATTAAGAAAATAACTCACAACTTTAATAATCAACAAGCTTCAAGAGCAACACCAAGAAATGGGAGTTTAGCTCCTCATTTGGAGACTAAACATAGCTAGAAAGACATAAAGAAATACTATTCTAAAATAGTGAAGAAAAAGTGTGTTATTTATAGGTGTTTTTCAACACCTTGGGTCGGATACCCGACCGGGTCAAGTGCTCACCCGACCGGGTGCATGTCAAAATCAGATAATCTTCCACGTTCTTGTGTTTCAGCACGTTAAAATGTCTCGGGTCAAGTCAGACCCGACCGGGTGGCATAGGGGACCCGACCGAGTCCAATGATTTTCCAGGCACTTTTGGTTGTTAAATCAGACCCGACCGAGTGAAGTCTTCTACCCGGTCGGGTATTTGCTCTTGGACAGTCAAAATCCCTTTTTCGTCACTTCAAAGTCCCCCTTTCCAACACCATAATTCCTAATTCTACTTTACAACTTACAAATGAAGGTTAAAATACAATTACAACTAAAATCACACAAATGTTTACAAACTAAATAAAATGGTAAACAATCCACACAAATTAAACATAAAACATACATTTATGCACTACTAATTAGTGCATATCAAACACCCCCACACGTGAACTTTTACTCGTCTTGAGTAAAATATATCATGTCCATGCAGTCTTCCAAATGATAATATAACAACCCAAGAATATTTTAAGAAGAAAAGTAGTTTACAAAGCATCCCCAAAAAGTGAATAGAGTAAAAGGGGTCTTTAACTTCATCGTTACCTCCATTTCTTTTTCTTAAGTTTATCACCTTCAGGAACCAGAACAATCTCCCCCTCAGCTAGTACCTGGCACTGTCCCTAGTGCCCGCCTGCATCACCTCCATCAAAGTGTCCTCCATGTCCATAGTAGCTATCATGAAAGCCCCCTGTGTATGGATGGTCATCTTGGTTCATGTCTGTACTACCGCCATAGCCGTCATCTTTGCCTCTACCACAAGAGCTTGATCCTCCGAAGTAACCCCACTTAGAGGGGTCGTACCATGAGGGTGCAAGAGGGGGAGTGGTCATAGAGGCAAAGGAGGCCTGGTGTGCCACGTAAGAGTATATCGGACCAAAGGTTCTCTGTTGGTCCTACTCATGTCTGCGCTGGTCCTCTTCATATCTTCGCCAATCTTCTCGCCTTTGCTCCTCCATCCTTTCGAAGCTCTGCCTCTGCTCGGTTCTATACTGGTCAAATTGTTCATGAAGTCGGATGTAGTTGTTGTTGATCATAATCATGTTATCGAGCATTTGTTGCTCGAATGGTGAGTATTGGTAGGCTAGAGTATTAGATTGTTGTTGCGGTGGATCAGGTATGAGTGGTGGGTCTACTTCAGCATGTCCTTGATCGGGCTCATCCTGTGCATAGTGTTCCGGGATTGCCCCGGGGAGACAATAGTGATTACCATCACCGATTTCGTGACCCACGATGTCCATGGGAACGTCGGGGGATGGCATGTGGATAAATATGTCATTTCGTGGAATGACAAGCCACTTATAGATAGGTGCCCCCGTGGTTGTCATGTGAGAGAGGGCCAAGTCCTTGGTCTTTTGAATAAGTCATGACGTGCATATGAGCTGTTTAGGGGTAATGAGGCCTGGGTCTACAAAACCATATAAGGGGGCTAGATGTGTGATTAGGCCCTCTATCACAATTTGTCCCGATGACGTTGCCACATTTTTGAAATGATTCCATAAGATGGAGGCAACGTCAACTGGATCTGGTCCAGGTAAAACAGCTTGTGCTAGAACAAACACATCCCACATTCTTGTGTGATGATTATTCGGTCT